GAACATTTTACAAAAAATTTTAAGTCTCTAGCTCTTATATCTTCGGAAATCGACGCGTTCAAACATACGGACAGACGGACATGTATGTAACAGGCAGAAGGAGGCGTGGCAGACCCCATAAATTATATATATTCATGATCAGGGCGACGAGCTGAGTCGATTTAGCTCTGTCCGTCCATCCGTCTGTCCGTATGTTTGAGCGCGTCGATCTCAGAAGATATAAGAGCTAGAGACTTAACATTTTTTCCTAGGTCCGTGTATAACACTGGAGTTGACCGGGCTTTTTCATTTAAATAAAAAATACTTATTCTTATTATTCATATTTTTTGGAACGGATTACGAAGTTACTATGGGAAAAGCTTTAAAATAAAAATATTTATATCGATAAACTTAAAATATCGATACGATATTTTTAAAATATTCGACAACCCTAGTAAGTAAGAAGAGTATACTTCTGGTATTGCCTCGATTTAACTCTCACTTGTACTCCTCCAAATCAATTTTTATCGTGACAGAATATTGCTCGACTGTCAGGTATTATGCATCGGTAGGTGAGTGCTAGCTATTTGTTCTAATTTTTTTTTTTATGAAAACTGTATACAAAAGATGTATGAAAGCTCTAGTCGAGACTACTCGATCATGAGATTCTGTTAACGCACACACACACAGCGCTTGGGCTGCGATTTGGGCTATCTTATGGGTATTAAATTGTCAATGGAGGTTGAATGATAACAACATTAAAATGTGGATGGATTTGTGAAAGGGATTTGTGGCCGGTACATGTTGGAAAATGTAAAAAAAAAACATTTAAAATGTTGGGCAAAATTATATCAAATCTATTAAACAGTTCATGTCTCCAGCTCTTATAGCTTCTGAAATTCATGGATGGACAAAAGGTGGTCTACCACGCCCCCACCTGCCAGTTACATACATTTTCAATGGGTTTAGGGTATAACTTAGCGATACTCTGAGGATAAAGTGGATATAAACCTATGGTTTATTTTCACTAATATGTACATAACTCTAATAAAATGTATTTTCTGAACTTTACAGATTTCGGATCGATAATACAGATCATATTATTGACGTGAACAAAGGCAATCTAGCATTCGAGTTCGACCAGGTACACATAATATGTCCAGTGTATGAGCCCGGCGCATTCGATAATGAAACAGAGAAGTACATCATATACAATGTGTCCAAAGTGGAGTACGAAACATGTCGCATAACCAACGCCGATCCGCGAGTAATAGCTATATGTGATAAGCCTCAGAAATTAATGTTTTTTACGATAACTTTCCGGCCATTTACACCGCAGCCAGGTGGTTTAGAGTTCCTACCTGGAAATGACTACTATTTCATTTGTAAGTTAAAATCTGCAATAAATATCTGTTTGTCTTTATCTGTTTATTTTAAACGGCATTACCCATTAGAATTTGACTAAAATTTGATCTGTCAAAATTTAAACTACGTAACACATATTAGAAAAGAATAAGACGCTCGCCTTATCAGGTGCTGACTGCCTGTAACAGTGTCCTACTAGACGGTCCCATGAATGCATCGATGTCGTAAGCCAGGGTTTTCATGCGCACATTATATCAATTCATTTCTCTTTAATTAAAAGATGAAAGTATAAACATAAGATACAATAATACTCTACGTCAGAATATAACCACCGAGTTGCTATATGTCCTTTTATAATTTATTTTGTTAACATAACTTAAAAACAAGTAAGAACGTTGCAGTCGGGCGTTACGCAATACTCATTCACATCCCATCAGCAATTTATTAGTTAAGTTTCGCTGTAATACTGTAGAAAATGTACTCGTAGTTTTTCCCGATTTGCTACGCCCTACTAGGCGTAGACTATTTTTGGTCAGTTCTTAGAACGTGATAACGGTACCTTAACTGCAAAGTTTGAATGCTTACCCTCAAAAAATGTGAAAATTACAGGGTATTTTTCGATATGCCACACCCCTAATGAGGCGTAAAAATTATTTGTAGGTCATCGATAGAGGAGGTTACTGGTAACTTAACTACAGCCGACTATTGTTATTTCGAACCTCTCATTAATTCAAAGTTATCACTCAGTAATTCGAACTAAAAATCATTGCTAAGACTCAGTAATTCGTACTCATATGGTTACACACTCGAGAATTCGAAATATTTTAAGAGTCCCTTGATTTTCGAAATAACGAGAGTCGACTGTATCTAAATTTGAAGCTTCTAGTTTTTTTACTTTAGGAGATACAAACTTTTGCGGTTTGCCACGCCCCCTGTGGGCGGACATATATCCGACAAARCTTTTTGGTCTTGGGTGATCAGCCCGAGTACATCTCTGGCATCAATAATGTCCAAAATATTAAAAAAATCACTATATCTTCAGGTCCGATTTGCCACATCTCTAATGGGCGTAGATATATCCGCCATAGCTCGTGATCTTGGGTGGTCGATGCGGATCTATATTCCAAATTTCAGCTTTCTAGCTCTTCAATTAATATGATTTCTGGAATATCGGAAAATATACCAAGAAACAAGTTTTGTTAATAACTTACTCGATTTTTAAAACGAATTCGATAATCTTCCAACTTTTTAAATGTAGCTCTTAAGGGTTCTAAGCCCGACCTACATACCTTCTGCCTGTGACATATATTTTAATAAAACTATTTTACCTTGATGCACGACATCTGCTAGTTGGACATCTCTTAGCGTAGTTTGTAATGTGTTTGAATTTATTTCAATGTTGTTTGATTTTATTTGTAAAATATTAACTATGAATTACATGGAGGTAGTTGTTGTAAATTGATTTTGTTTGGATTTTGATATTTTCAAATTGCAGCGACTTCATCAAAGGACGACTTATACCGTCGCATAGGTGGTCGCTGTTCCACAAATAACATGAAAGTTGTGTTCAAAGTGTGCTGTGCGCCCGAAGATAAGAACAAGACAACGGAGATAACAACAATGTTGGGAAATGTGCCAGCAGTGGACAGTGGTGGAACGAGCAATATACACAAAGGCGTCGATAATATTGATCTGAATCGAAATATGAATAGCCCGAATGGAATTCATACAATTGGCATAGGCGTTGGCAGCGGATCAGCAGCTGGTGGCGGTGGTCAAATGAAGCCCGTTGGCACTTCGATCAATACAAACATTGATCAGTTCAACCGCATACCCATTCAACCGAACTCAATAGCTGAAGGAGGCGGAGCTGTAGGGACAGGAGTAGCTGGGGGATCTGGCATAATGCTCTCACCTGGCCATGGCAGCATAAATATGCTGCCACCTGGACGAGGCGGCATTCACATGCCATACCCCAACCATCATCATATACAGACTGGCATACGAATTAATAATGTTCCAACGCAACAGAATAATCAGCATCCGCATCACAAAGGCAATCTGAACAATATGAATAGTAATGGTAAGGACGAAACTACAAGTCAGCTCAACATACAAGAGGAAGTTGGCAAAAAAGATATGTATTACCTGTCGCCGGTTGTTGTTGACACAAATCATAGTAACATTGTGCAGAGCACGATCAATTGGCCAATTAATAAGTGGGCCATTAGCTCGGGTGTGGACACGAACAGAACAACAGCAAACTCAACGTCAAACAGCAGAATAAAAAATTCCAATTTAAGCTCAAATTCGAATCCTAACTCAACTAACATACTTAACAATAACAATAATAGGAAGCAATTCTTCCATCCGAAACATACCACAAATATCAAAATTCAAACAACCTCAGGCAGTCTTAATACAGATATTAGCAATTATACACAATCATCCCACAGTTCGACAGTCCTTGGTAATAATAAGACGAAAAGTAAGTAGAATTCATTAGAAATGCATTTGCATATGCATCTGCCATTAACTACCTGTGTTACACCTGCCTAGTATTACCACCACCACAACCTCCACACCTGTCCCGGCCACTGTATGTGCTTTCGCATCTTCAAAAGTAAGCGGAGAGAAACACCGTAAGACTGACAATGGTGACAAATCTACAGGGGCATTCAAAAAACTAAAAAGGGTATATTGTAACTGTCCGGGCCCAAGTATAAGAAATAGTGAAGCGTGATTAATGGCATGAAATAAATTTTAGAGAAAGAACAGATGATAAGAGACGAAATGCGACAGGTGTGCTCTGATATGAGAGATGAAAGAAGAGAAGTGCGATATGGGATATGAAAGACGAGATAGATGATGATTATATGTTTTCTACAATGTTACTTCTTGCTGTTGTCTGTTTGTCCGTATGAACATAATTCATTTCGTTGCGATTCAAGCTATTGATTTTCTAGTTTAGGAGAAATTTTAATACCTGGAACTTGAGTAAAACCTTCTGAATTAAACTGAAATGTGCTGCAAATAGTTTCCACTTAATTGTGAAAACAACTTATAAAAGAACCGTTTATTAAGCTTTAACCAACACACTTTGTCGAATAAAAATACTGATAAAAAGAAAATATGTATAACAAGTAAGAAAGCTCTAGTCGAGACTGCTCGACTACGAGATCCCCTGAACCCTTGGAGTGCTAGCTATTTCAATAATTTTTCGCGTCTTTCAGCTTACACAAGAAACACACACACATACACAAACACATACACATACAAGCACCCACGCATAAACACGCATGGGCTGCAGTGTGCACTTACTATGAGAACTTAATTGTTTAATAACTTTTTTTGTGGACGTACGATCTTCATGAAACTTTCAGATTATGATTATAACATGAATATGCATGTAATTGCCAAAGCACAAGTCTCTAGTATTTGATATTAATTAATGAAAAAATGAAGAGGGATAATTATTTACGTGTCCTGAATGACCACTCATCGAATTCCGGTTACCGGCTCATTGGAAAATCATGTATACTGCAGCAGGACAATGCTCCATGCCACAAGGTCCATATTTTAACTGAATTTTCTGGGAATATTGAAGTCAATACATATGATTGGCCACCTCAGCGCTCTGATCTCAATATTATAGAGAATGTGTAGGCTTACGCAAAAGTAAAACGTAGCTTAGACTTATCAAGAACGCCCAAGGAGACGGATTGCTGAGGTTTGAGGACCTTAGCAGGATTTTTCAATAGAAACATTACAAAATTTGGTTAGATCGATCCCTAGACGCTTGCAGATAGTAAAGGAGGGTTTAATTCTTATTAATATTTTAGTTACTATKACCATTGTTAAGTTTTTGTCTAACCTTATTTAATAAATATTAATGTCAAAATACTTTTGTCCACCCAAATAATGATAATCCACCATGCAAATAATTATAGAAAAATAATGAGTCATGTCATGAATCACTTAAAGCCTAGTATGTTTGCTGTCTCTAAAAAATATAATGGGTACCATTACTTCTCTCAGCACGCAGAAATAAGCGGTTAAAGTTTTTGCAATGCGTTGTCAAAATACTTTTGTCCTCCATTGTAGATAGATAGAGAGAGAGAGAGAGAGAGAGAGAGAGAGAGAGAGGATATAATTGATGAAAAGAAGGAGAAAGGTGAAAATAGAATAAATAAGTTTAAAAATGAGGAAGATATTTCAAGCGCATTAAAACATAGTTTGTAGCGATATAAATATATATTATTTAACTTAATAAGTAAACAAATAGAATGCCGATTACAGATTTAAGATTGGAGTATATAGAATAGGTTTGCCTTGGCATCTGACGATTGTATTGCTCTCGCTAAACTCAAATAATGTCCCTATAAAAATTAACAGCTCTTGTCTTTAATATAATTGGTATAAAACTAATTTTACACATAAATACAGGTTTCCATATTAGTTTGATTGGTTCTAAATTTTGTTGATTGTTTGATCGAATTTCATTCTGTAAATATCTTCTATTTATTTTTTTTAATTTTTCTGTATAGTTTTTATGTCAGATCGCCCTGTTCGAAAACAAAGAATTGAAACCATGTAAATTGATTTAAATCGGGCTAAAGGAGCTAAGGAGTTAGACTTATTACATTATCAGTATAATTATAACTAAAGTACACTAAAGTAAAATTCTCTGCATCCTCCTTGCAAGCCAAAAAATACTCGACAATCGAGCGCCTTTTCATTTCATTTACGCGTTTGTAACCTTTTATAATTTTCTTTGTTGACTTTGAAGTTTTTCAAGTAAAATCTGTGAATTCATTCGATGATCATCCCCGTTTGAAGTCAAAAGGCAAACTTACATTATATATAAATATACTTCTCGTACAATAGCTGCCTTGTACGACAGTTTTGACTGAAAATAAAAATGATAAATTTAATACCATACTTTAGGAGAAGATTAAAACACGTGTAGGAAATTAGACACTAAGCAGCTAAGGCCAATGGCAAACAGAGATAGATACGATAATATGAAACATGTACTTGTTATATCAAAAAGCGTATGAATTTTTCGTATTGCATTTACATTTACAGTTATTATTCGTATATTAAGTATTTCGAATATGGGAAAGGTGAAATTCAAAGAACTCTCAACTGTAAGTTTTTAAGTTCTTATGCTTTTTTGTTTTTGTTTTTGTTTTACTTTTTAGTTTAAATTTTGAAATTTTGTAAATGAAACGAAGCAGTATATATATATCTAATATATATGCTATAGAACTTACATACAAAATTTTATATAAAAAGAAAGAAGAAAAATATTTGTGTGAAAAATGGGAGGCGAACAAAAAAGTTTAGGTGAAACGTTATAATAATTGTATATTTAATAAAGAAGAAGAAGAAGAAAAAAAAAAAAAAAACAAATAGAATTTGCAATTCATGTATTGATGCAGCCATTTGCTTCACATTCAGAACATGAAATTTATTTACATACCACATAAGTAGTATTCATATATATACTTTTAAAGAAACCAACGAGTTGGTTCGTTTCGGTGTTATATATACATATATATAAAGAATTGTTCTTTCTGAGTTAAAACGAGCGAGCCTTCTTTGGCTTTATTGTATTTTCCAAATCATACTGAATCATTATACACACACACACACACCCACCCACACACACACACACAGAGAGCATTTAATTGTAAGAGAGTCCTTCACACACTTCTATTTCTTATATGGCACTTGGAGAACCCTTTATAGCGCCCTCTAATGATAGTAAACGCTCTCGTTTTAAGCTTAATGCAGAAACTTACGAATAATCCGAATTTATCACATCCGAATCAGAATCAGAATCCGAAAGCAGTAACAAAAGCAAGATCAATGTCCTAAGTTTAAATAATTTATATTTAAATACTTTTCAATGCAAACTCTCTTAAAAATAGGCAACAGAGAAGTGTAGATACAATAGTATGTATCCATTCTTACAGTTTGAGATGATTAGGATTACGCTTACAATACAATACAATTTAATACAAAAATACAATACGATACCATAAAACTCATTACAATACAATACACTACATTACAATACAATGCATATAATTATATACTTACAACATACATCTCAACTTATTATCATGTCTACCTTAGGAACCGCTTTCTTTTCGTTTCACTGCCACAGGTAAAAGAGTAGCCAAATATTTTGACCTCAAATGTTATCTAAACTCGTGAGCTGCATTGGTGTTGTAGAGCTCTCCAGATTTTAGACTCGGATTTAGAGCAGTTCGCTTTCGAACATCATCAGCCAATTCGACTTTATAAGTATATTAATTAAAAAACATTCGATGATTGTTTGTGTACTTTGGATACTTTAACACGCGTGTTACAATCAACTTGAGTTAGTCTGCAGCCATGAAGACCATTGCTTTGTTATAGCGATATGTATTTTTGATTTGTCAATTAGCGCCCTTTCAAAGTCAGTTTATTAATTGCAGATATATTTTGAAGTCTCCACCTTCACACGTCTGCCCCACTGTGCCGAATATATTTCTGCTTATGCATTCATATAAATTAGACACGGTCACAAAGACTGCATTAATTGCAAACTCAGGGCCAGTGCTGCTCTAGAAGCTATGTAACAAGCTTACAGACAGAAAACCGACGCAGACTCCTGCAGAGCCATCTATACAGATGCAATCGCATGGACAGTACCACCACTTATAACTACTCTATAATTATTTGCAGTCACAGATTACCAACACACACAAACACACACACACACACACACACACACACACTTATATTCACTTAATAAATGGCCCTCATAAATATGCTAGATGAAAGTTGCATAACATTCAACTCATAGGCGTTGGTACATACATATATACATATATATGTAATGCCGGAAGCGATCAAAAGAGGAAAATATGTAATTCAATCATAGCTGAATATAATTGTATGTATATACACTTATACATGAAAAGGAGATAATATAAAAAAGAACAGAAGAAAGAAAATAAAAACTCAGTTGGAATAGTGAAGGCAGACTAAATTGTAATTTTTACTGTAGCCCAGCAAATTTATATCTACTTAAATAATACCATTTAAGAGGTCAAATAAGCAAATGCATTCAACACGAGAAACCGAAACTACATATATTTATGTGTACTATTAGATGGAGAAGATTACGGATACGAATATGAATATGAATACGAATACGAATACGAACGAAGGCAAGCTGAAAAAACGAAGAAGAGTGGAGAAGTGAAACATGTATCAATGCAAATAAAAAAAAAATGTAAATTTACGATTTGTCTCTTAACTGTCTAGAAATGTATGGGTAGTATTCCTGCCCCACTGTGCGGGAGGTGACGATGCCACCATCCAGAGACCTCTGTTTCACTGTATTGCTCTGGGTGTTGGACTATAATGTGCTGAGCTTTCCACAAGAAGAGACTGCCGAATTGTTTTCAGTGATTTCTCAGTCTGGTGTCCGCATTGAAAGAAGGCTCTTAAGAG